TTCCATTCCTCGGATCATCCTAGTGATGATATCTTTATATGATATCTTGATATCATCCTAGTGATGATATTGAGACTGATATCTTTAGGCTTCTTCACTTGGAAAATTCACATGTAGATTTTACTTTTTTCTTGTCAATTGTACATTTTAAAAATCACAATTTTGAGTTTTGCTGTTACTGTAGCTTCAAAAACTACTATATAGAAAGAATGCTAATAGGACTCATATTATGTAAAAATGATTTTCACTTATTGTTAAAGCATAGCAAGGTAAATAGTTCAGTTCCTGCTTACTATTAGGAGTCAGGGGCAAGGAGGAACATGGATAGAACATTAAAGGAAGAAGAAATGAGCGTTCTCAAAAGCGAATAATTCTAGGGAAAGGGCTGTTGCCTACAATTATGTTTTATCTTGAAAGTTCTGCCAATTATTATTTGCCTGTATGTCATAGAGCATAAACTTTGTGGGAAATAAGGAGTTATTTTTCTATTTTATTCTGTTAGAATGAATGTTTGATGGAGGTGAAACTGTCCCTCAAAGACCAAATGCTGGGATCACAGATATATATTATCATAGGTCCTGGTTGAACTGAATGTGATGACACTGGCTATATGTCGATAGAATAGTAGACATAATATAATTTATGGTTGCAAGATGCTTTCAAAATCCCACATTTATCATAATCATTTGGGAAAACACTGATAATGGTGTCAGCATTTATGTGTTTGCATTTTGCTTGTTAGGGTACACTACACAGTTATTTTGGAATAAGTTATTCTGGAATAGTTATTCTGAAATAGCTTATTTCGAAATAGCACATCTACACTGCAGGGAAACCTCAAAATTAGTCCAAGGCAGGCTTCTCTAACGTAGACATGCTATCTCGATTTAGAGCCCCAGAAGACACAGGGGAGGAGTACTTTAGAATGGCTCTGGTTCAAATATCTAAAAGGGTGTCACAAGAAGGAAGGAGAAAATTTGTTCCTCTTGGTTTCTGAGGACAGGACAAGGAGTAATGGGCTTAAAGTGCAGCAGGGGAGGTTTAGATTGGACATTAGGAAAAAATTCCTAACTGTCAGGGTGGTCAAATATTGGAATAAATTGCCAAGGGAGGTGGTGGGATCTCCCTCTCTGGAGATATTTAAGAACAGGTTAGATAGACATCTGTCAGGGATGGTGTAGGTGGAGCTTGGTCCTGCCTTGAGGGCGGGGGGTTGGACTCGATGACCTCTTGAGGTCCCTTCCAGTCCTATGATTCTATGATTCTATTGTTAGGGGCTATTTCAAAATAGCAGCAGTGGAGTATCTGCACACGCCTTATTTCGAAATAGCTATTTCAGAAAAGGTGTTATTCCACGAAGAATTAGGTTTACAGATTTCGGAATAAGATGTCCGTTATTTCAAAATTATTTTGAAATAACGGAATGGCTGTGTAGATGCTCGCATTGTTGTTTCAAAATAATGCTAGTTATCTCGAAATAACGGTGCAGTGTAGACACACCCTCAGAGACTGTGGGCTTGTTATATATATATGTGGTGTTCATTAGTTGTAATGAACTATTCATTAGTTGAGATCCGTTTCTGTAAGAATGACCATTGGTCTTTTTCTTCCTTGGTGAATTCCGGAGTCTTATTTAGGCATTCATATATGGCATCTTTGTAAGTTAGTGCTTTATTTTCATTAACTACACAAGCCAGTAAACTTACACAGATTTGTAGTATGGTCAGCACTTGTGTTTTAACTCTAATTGGAGATCTGGGCTTCCAGCCTATTTGTTCTAGCTTTGTTTACTATCCATACTTATTTATCTAACTATGTGTTCATGTTTGTGATTATCTTCGCATGGTCCAATTTTCAGCTAAGCTCATGTGACTGTCAGAAATGGATCTTCAGTCTCATGTGATCTTGTTTAGCTTCTCTAAAGTGGTGCCAATTCCATCAAAAGCATTAAGGTTTTTAGGATAAATTTTTTGGGGTGGTTTTTTACTTTTTTCTTTGGCATTTTTGTGAGATTTCTTGTTTTCAGTATTAATAGCAGTATCTCTTGAACCTTGAGCAATTTGAAATAATGTGTTTTGGTTTCATTGTCTGTGGGTTTTTTGTTTGTTTATTATTATTGTAGATTGACCCCCTACTTCCAAATCATCAGCATGCAGGGAAGACCGAGCACCTTGTGGTCTGTGGTCACCACTAACCTAGTACAGCTGGCCACATAGTAGACATTGCTATCCATATTTTTCATTGATTTCCAGTCCAAGGAAGGGTGCTCAGCTGTTCTTGCTGTACACAAATCATACCACATTGGTAGTTGAAGCTGAGTGGTCAAAGATATTTGTTCCATTAAGTCAGGGTGGGGAAACTAATGCCCTGGGGCCAGATATGCAACCTCTGGCTTGCCTGTATCTGGCCCAGGAGGCTTTGGGCTCCCCATCCCCAGCATTGTGGGGTGGTTTTTATAGTTTCTCATTTGTGTGCTGTCCCTGACTCATTTTTCTGTGGGTCAGTGGCCCCTGACCCAAATAAGGTTCCTACCTGTGCATTAAGTGGTTTCTGAGTTTTGGGTATTTCATGATAAAGCAGAGCTTGGTGTTGTGCCGATAAGCTGGCCTAGATTCCCTCTTCTGATCAGGAGCATTGCATGATTATTCCCTTTAAGGGAGGCAATTAATTTATAGATGTTAATGTATCCATGCAAAATTATCTTTTGTTTATGCTTTTGTTATAGAGATGACGATGACATCAATGATGTTGCTTCTATGGCTGGAGTTAACCTTAATGAAGAGAGTGCCCGAATTATGGCAGCCAACTCTGACTTGGTTGGAACCCAGATACAGTCTTGTAAAGATGAACCTTTTCTTGCTGCTATCCCTTTACATAAACGAATACTAGAAATGGGTGAGGAGCATGTCATTTGCTTTCAGAAGTATTGCCTTTGGAGCAGATCCATTTTAGTCAGTGTCATGATACAGTGTAGCGTCCAGCATGATATAATGAAAGTTCTATAAGTATTTCCATTATGTGTCCATATTTCATTAGGAAAGTATCTTTGCTGTCTCAAAATGTATCAAAATGACACTTTGGTATTATAATCTATTTGAGGATCCTTTATACTCCTTGCAAACGTTATTGAAATAATCCTTCCATTGTAACATCCTTTTACATACTTGAAAACTGCTAGCATGTCCCCCCTCAGTCTTCACTTTTCTAAACTAAACAAGCCCAATTCTTTCAGTTTTCCCTCATAGGTCATGTTTGCTAGACCTTTTATCATTTTTGTTGCTCTTCTCTGGATCTTCTCCAATTTCTCTACATCTTTCTTGAAATGTGGTGCCCAGAACTGGGCACAGTACTCCAACTGGGGCCTAATCAGCGCACAGTAGAAGAATGACTTTTCGTGTCTTGCTAACAAAACACTCCTGTTAGCGCATCCCATAATCATTGCTTTTTTTTGCAAGTGTCACACTGTTGACTCATGTTTAACTTGTGGTGTTCCACGACCTCTAAATCCCTTTCAGCAGAACTCCTTCCTAGACAATCATTTCCCATTCTCAGATGTTGCACATGACCAAGATGAAGCACAGAGAGGTTAGTGACTTGCCCAAGGTCTTGGCAGATGTCTGAGAGTGAATCAAGAATAGAATCCAGATCTCCTACTTTCCCACTTCTGTGGTTTAGAAGACAAGTGATTATCTGGATATATTTTTGTTAAATGTGTTAATCCAGGTATTAACATATGTAACTATTTTAAAAATTTATGGTATTTTTGCTTTGATATAAATAAAATAGATTATCTTTTTACTTACAGTTGGGCCTGAATGTTAATAGTTATTTTGAGAATTAAAAAAAATAAAATAAACACTCAATAGTAACATTTAAAAAGTGGCAAATAATTATGCTCAGTATTTATTTTCTGTTACTCTGACTGAAGTATGAACTAGGTTAAATGTATGGCCACATAACATTAAAAAAGGTCAGAAAAACTAAATTTTATTTTGACTTAAAAGCCACAAAGTTTAAATATTATTAACTTTCAATGACACTTGGGTTCTTTAATGCCCAGGTCATCTTTGAAATGGGATTTAGGCTCTTATTTTACTTCTGTGGCTTTGGAAATTTTACCTGTAATGTCATACTTAATAAGTTCAGTATAAATTTATGGAAACCCTTTTACAATATAACATGCCCTCATCTTACAAAGACCTATTCATGTTCTTTGTTTTACACACTGTAAGTAGTCCCTTTGCAGTACTGAGGCCATAGTGGGAAAATAAATGCATGTAAACCTATAATTATTTTAGTCCAGTGACCTTATGATGATGTCATCATATGAAGTTACGATGAGAAAATATTAGTGCAATATTTTTGGAATTTGGTGGTTGCTCTCTGAGGTTATGAAGTGCACACGCTATTGGTTCAGGTCTTTGGAAGAACCGTTATGAGGCCTGCTTTCATTATACCATATATTGATGTGACAGGTCAACAACAAGCAAAGAAAATTAGACTAAAAACTGTATGAAAATAGTTGGAAAGTCACTAATAAAGTTGCCATGCAAACCTTAATTAATTCTTCTGGGTGTAACAATTGCAGCCCAACATGGAGTTATAATTTGAAGTGTAGGGCTTAGAAGGCTCTGTACATAGTTTGAGAGCCACAGAGCACTGTTCACCATTTGCCTTTTGGGGTTTGCTCCTCAGAGGAGCAAATCCCTGTGGCTGTTTTTTGAAACTTTATTGGCTTTGATAACAGAAAATGAAACTTTCAAAGCTTTTAAAAGCAGCCGCAGGGATTTGCTTCTCAAAAGCAGTGAATCCAAGAGAATGGTCGCTTCTAGTGAGCTCTTGCTGCTGTTTCTAGAGCTTTATTTTGGCTTTATATAAAGTCTTTTGTAGTTTTGAAAGTGGCTTTGGGGTTCACTAGTGGCTACTATTTAGTATCCATGGCTCTTGAGGAGAGAATTCCTGCAGCTGAGTTTGAAGCTTTAAAGGCTTTGTTTTCACTGTGTGTGGCCAGATTTTGTTGATCTCACAGGACCACACAAAATTCCGTAGTTTGTGCTATTGGGTACTTAAAATAATGGGATTGTATGAGTATCACAAAATTCAGTCTTACCATATGTTGGTATGCTTAAGCGCCCAAGGACTACACAAAAGAAACTGTCATTTTCTAAGACTCCTTAGAAAAAGGAAAATCTCAATTAAGTCGGGTCACTATTATCTTGTTTTTGTATTAGGGCTATAGATAAACAAGGTAAAATACACTTTTTTCTTGTATTAATGTATCTGAACATGGCTAAAAATTGGGAGTTTTTTCCAGCTTGAAAGATTTTCATATTTACTAATCACTTTAGTATTTAGGGCACCTTTCTAATGTTCCAGTAAAAGAAAGAACTGTGGTATGTACAGTATCAGGAAACTGCTATTCACTGGTGCCTCAGAAGCTGGTTCTTTCAAGTTTTCTGTAGTATTAATCCCCTTCTCTCTCATCTCTGAGCAAGAGCTCTGAAGAGAAACTCAGTAGTGTTCCCCAAAGGATGTTTCAGAGATTGTGCTTCCATTCACCAGAGTCAGAATATAAACTGCTAAAGTGAGAGCAGATGCTATGCAGTCTTTGGCAGTTACCACGAGCCAAATGCCTCAAAGTTATAGTAAAAAAGAGGTTTCTTTTAAAAATATTGTATATTCTTATCTCTACAGTAACTTGGCAGCATTATAGTCCATAGTTTATTTCAAATATAAATATTATCAATCCTTCCAAATACAAGAAATAGTTGAAAGGTGCATTAATACAAAGACACTAGATCATTGCCTAAATTACTTTGTTGTCTAGCTTTGTGTCTTATCATCTTTGGCTCACAATTGTTGCCTTTTGTTCATCTAAGAAGGCAAAGATTTTGATTGTTTCAACCTCCATCTTGATTCAAAGTCAAGAATGAATGTTTTTGCACCAGGCAATGTGTTTTGTTGCTGCTCTGCCCAGGATCATAAAGCAGTACACAGTGGCACACACAATACTCTGCCTTTTTCTTTTTGGAGAAGCTATAATTTTCTTTGTGCTTGCTGCTGCTGTATGTTTTTATTTGACAGACCCCTTTGCTTGCTCCATTAGCACACCTGGTAGTGTTTCCTCGAGGAGCCAAGAAAGGTTGATAAGCCCCACACCATAGCTGCAATTACCCAGTAAATAATAGTGAAAGTTCCTGGCTCTTAAATTAATTTACGTTTGGAAGAGAACACAGAAAAATAAGCTTGGATCATTTGTGCTTGTTTGTTTGTTTTTTCATTTTTAGTTACTCTTTGACTAGTTTTTTGTGGATGGGGACTATTTCTTAGCTGTATTAGCTTTTAAACAGTAGCTGTTAGGTGAACATTCTTTGAATTGAGTTTCCATTGTGCAATAAACACACAATAGAAAGGCAGCACCACAATACTTGGGTATGTCTACACTAGGAAATTATTTTGAAATTAGTAAAATTGAAATAATAACTCCCGGAATAACAATCAGAATAGCATATCCATACTATGGGGAAGTGTCAGAATTATTTCAAAATAATGTGTCCACCCTGATTGGAGCCTGCCTCAGACTTAAAGCCCCCTGAAGCACTTCGGGGAGGGCGCCACGAAGGTGGACACTTCCTGTGGCTGCTTGGTCAGGCAAGTTGTGACGTGTGCTTACATGGACTCTTCTCTACGGCTGCGTCTCACACAGCACTCTGCCACTGCTCCCTCCTTGGGGGACACAAAATAGACTCAATGTGTTCTGCATGCCCTTGCGGACTTACACCATGGAACCAGAGCTGCTACAAAGCAGTGCCAGGCTCATGGGCCTTGTGCTGCACTTTATAGCACAGTATTTCCACGCTGCTGGTCCTCCAGCAGGATGAGGACCAGCCCGGACCACAGGCCCTAATCACCCAGGTCTTGGCCCTCCTGCTGCTTTAAATGCTCCTCAATCTCCTGGACACCGTGCCGCTTCCTGTGGTGGGGGACCTGTTCAGACTGGTGGGACCACATTGTCCTGTAGCTTTGGGACAACCAGCAGTGGCTCCAGAACTTCCGCATATGGAAAGCCACTTTCCTGGAGCTCTGCGAGTGGCTCACCCTTGCCCTCAGGTGGCAGGACGCCTGAGTGAGATCTTCCATCCCTGTGCAGAAGCATGTTGCCATTGATCTGTAGAAGCTCTCCATGCTGGACAGGTACCACTCCGTCAGGAACCAGTTCAGCGTGTGGAAATCCACAGTCAGGACTATGCTCATGTAAGTAGTGAAGGCCATCAACCACATGCTTCTATGACATCATTCTGGGCAACATGGACACTATTGTCGGTGGCTTTGCTGCCATGGGCTTCCCAAATTGTAGGGGTAAGGGGGCCATGGACGGCACTCATATCCCCATCCTGGCCCCCGATCACCGTGCTTTGGACTACATAAACAGGGGTACTTCATAGTGCTACACGCCCTTGTGGGTCACAAGGGACACTTCACCGACATCAGTGTCAGCTAATTGGTGAAGGCACATGACGCCTGCACCTTCTTGAATGCCTGCCTGTTCTGAAAGATGTACACCAGCACTTTTTCCCCGTCCGCACCATCAGAGTCAGGGAGGTTGACATGCCCATGTGCATCCTGGGCGATGCAGCTTACCTCTTGCTCCCCTGGCTGATGAAGGTCTACAGGGGCAGCCTGGACCCCACCAAGGAGCACTTCAACACCAGGCTAAGCAGGTGCCACCTAGTTGTGGAGTGTGCATTCAGCCACTTAAAGGGGAGGTTCAGGAGTCTCCTCACCCGACTGAACCTCAGCGAGTGGAACATCCCCTTTGTGGTGGTGGCCTGCTGTGTGCTCCACAACATTTGCAAAAGCTAGGGGGAGATTTTCCTGCCAGGCAGGAGAACGGG